AGCAAGTGCTTGTTCAGACTAACTACAGCACATTTACAGCACAACATCTGTTCTGGAGTCAGTTGAGAACAGGGCAAGTGACGGCAGGCCGGAGAATCTTCTGCTGATTTCTGACAGCCCACACGCTTTCTGTCACTGATGGAATAGAATACTAGCTTACTACGTACTGAATACTGAGAAGTGTACACTATACTGCCTGAGAGTTTTGAAAAAAAAATAAAAAATTATATGCAACATTGTTTCATCACAATGCACGTGTGTGGCACTTAGTCATCAGTTATGAAAATGAAAAAAATAAATAAATATAAATAAATAAAATAAATAGTATTACATGTGTTCTACTGCATACTGTATATTTTGGCAAGTATAGTATGTCACAGTGATGGTATTATTAATTAAAACTAAAAGGAACAATATAATGTATATTGTTTTTGTTAACTGAGATAAAGCTGAAATAAAACAAACATTTAATGAAAAACTTAAAGTTAAACAAAAATTTGAAATGTTGCACAGGCAACAAACTAAAAATAAGTTGAAATTGAAGAACTACAATGACTAAAACTAAAACAGAAATAAAAATAAATTAAAGCTAAATAAGTATATTTAATAAAAACAAAAACTCATGAAAATGACAAAAGCTCAAAACAAAATGATTAAAATTAAACTAAACTTTAAAAAAAATTACATTTGAAAGTATTAATAAATACGGTAACACTTTAAGGTGTCCTTGTTACACATTACATGTACTTACTATTATAATAACAATAAATGATGCATAATTACATGCAAGTAATTAATATTACTCAGTACTTACATGTATAATTACACTGTAACAAGAACACCTTAAAATAAAGTGTAACCATAAATACTATAATAGTATATTAATAATACTAAAATAACACTGGCATGTCATGCTATGTGACAGAAATTCACATTCTGTGCACAGTGTAGATATTATACACTGCAGACATTATAATAGTAGCAGTTAGCAGGCTATTCTCAGCACTGAGTCTCAGACAGCACTGCAAGAGACCGTTCACACAGCGCCGGAAGCATAATGCATGCAAAAACCGTGCTGGTTGGTTTAAATATGCATTGCTAATCAGACTGGCTGGCTTTTACACAACCTCTGAGAGTCTGAGTGCCCAGGGTTTTGCTAGCAAACAAAGTTTTGTTTACAGTGTAATGGATTGTAATTAATTAATTAATTTCCAGTCTTTTGTGATTAGCTACTGGATAAAATCATATAGCATGTTTATCATAGTTAACAAAAAGGCCACTCCCTTAGTGTAGCATATGTTATTAGCCAGTAACATGCATCACAGAGGCGTTTACATTCACTCGTTCTAAAATGCATAACTAGAGACATCCTATTACAGAGATTTCCATGACTTCTCCAAGCCTGAAAATCACAATTGTAGAACTCTCCGGTATTTCCAGGGTTTTCATGATTATGGAAACTCTGCCTCAAGCATAACTTCATATTCCACTTTCTTGCACAATTACATCTGTGAAATAACCAGGACTTAAACTGACAGACTATTAGTGAACACTGTGCTTCTGAAACGGAGATAAAATAGAAATTGGGACATTATTTCCTCACCCTTCATGATGTTCCATGCAAATTCAATTCTCCGGATACAATTTCATATAAATTATCTTAAATTGTAATACATAAATAAGTAAAACTTGTGTGTTATTGCTAGATTTACAGATCCTAGAATTTAGTAAACATATATATATATATATATATATATATATACAGTATTTTTTATTTTAGCTTATTTATATTTAAAGATTGTCAGTCAGTTTAATTAAAATCTTCGCTAATTGAAATAATGCTGAAGTAAAATCAAATCTAAAGATTAGATTGAAAAACGTAAACTTAAAAAAACTTGGAAAAAAAGTAGAAAGTAAAAAGATAGACTGAAATAAAATAAGTTCTTAAATGACTAAAACTAAAACAAAAAATACACAAATAATTTAGAAGTATTTTAAGTATTAATTTAAATAAAAATGACAAGTGCATAAACATTACAAAAAAAACAAATATATATCTTCTCAATAAACTCTTAATACATTTTTAAATAAATATAAATGTTAAAAAAATCAATCAATCAATAAATAACAGCACACCAAAAAAGCACAACTTATGTGATATGTTGCTATATTTACAAATGATTGACTTAAAGAAAATATTATCAGTCAGGTTTTTTAATTGAAATAAAATAAAATATAAATATTGCCAAGTAACTGAAATCAAATACGTTTAAAATTACTAAAACTAAAACTGAAATAAAATGAGTAACATAAATATGTTGTATTAAAAATAAAAAAAATTAAAATGACAAAAGCACATAAAGTTACAACAAACCCCTGAAAAACAAAAAAACAAAAGCTAATTCAAAACATTAATCAGTACTACAATAGCATATACAGTAAATAATACTAAAATAACACTGCTATAATTGAAATGATTTGTTTCCATTTCTTAAATCTGTCTTGGTCTTTTATGGTGTTTTTTTTTTTGGCGCTTATGTTATTTGTGGACCTTAACCTAATACTTAGTGGTCACTATATGAACTGTTGTTGTAATGTTTTGACTTTCTAACACAGCTCTTTGTGGTAATGAAAAGAGCTGCAGTAATTCTTGCAAATATTTAGCTCCACTGAAGACAATCATAAAGGTTTCAGAAACGACCTGCGAGTGAGAGCGAGTAAACGCTGACTTAAATGCAGTAGTAATGGAGTCTGTGATGAGACTCACCTTCTCACCGCTGCTCTTCAGATCGAAGGCTGAAATGTCCTCTGCTGCATCCAGCGCAGATGTCTGCCATTATTAAAAATTCAAGAAGAGTCCTCGTCAAACACAGTCCTACAAAAACATCTCTACATGACCTCAATAGCGTCATTAAACTCTAATGCCATTGAGAGGCTCTCTGTTAGTCCAGAAGATCCGAACTGAAGTCCCGCACAGTAATGAAAGTCTCTCTTTATGGCTGCGGATCCCCCCTCGTCCTTTGTGCTTGTTGTTCAGTGCCATTGAAACAAAGCTACTTTTAAGAGCCATCTGCTGGGTGGGAATGAGGCATGGATCATTAGCGCACATCTGGTCACGGACACTTTATAATGGTCTGATGAAGAGAAGGACAGACCGCAGAGAGCCTCGATACAAGGCTTCGGTCAGCGGAGATATTTAACGACATGTTTCAGAGATCCAACATTATTACAACACTTTAAATACTGTATGGCGTGATAAAATGAATCGTGCTGTAGATTCTGGATTTTTTTGCAGGATGAGGTTTCGAGTCAGATAATGTGAAAAAATTCCCTTGTGAAAAAGATTTACGCTTTAGCATGCTTATTTTAATAAAGTACTTATTATGTAAATAATATACTTAAGTGCGAACTGAATGCTTTTGGACATGTTTTAGTTTAATGAAAAAGTTTTATAGTTTAAAATTATATTAAATGCAATTTTAGATCACTTTTTTGACCCACTTAAGTAGGACTTAAGTACATCTTTACATTTACTTTCATAATTATTTAAATGGTCTTTGAAATATGGTTAAAGTTCTGCTGAATGCTTTGTGGTAAACCAAAATATACTTTGTTACTTAATGTATTTGTAATCTATCTGTAATTAAACATTTGTAATGATGCTTTAGTACATTTAAAACATATTAACTTTAAAATGTAATATTGAATAACAGTAACGCACTACAGGTAAAATGATAATCAAGTGCTTTACATGTGCTTCAGTATGTTAGTCCACACATCACAATAAAGGCGCTTAACTGTCAGGTGATCTTTTTTAATTGCCTTTTTCACCATCATATATTTTAGTAATCATCCTAATTAGAAATCATTCGAAAGCTTTGGACACATGGCTTTTTCATTGATTTTATTTTAGATTCAAAAATATATAGTTAAATATTTATTTTATATAAAATAAAACATTTTAGTACAGTGTATTTCCTTTACAGTAAACTTAAACTTCTTAAAGTTTAAAACGTAATAAATACGTTTTTACACTTTAATTTTTAAAAATCTTTCAGCAATAATTTGCTGATTGTCTTCTTTAAAAAGAGACCAACCTTAGTTAAGAGGTTGAAGCATGACACAAGATGAATAAAACTTGATTGATGACTTAAAACGTACTTTAAAGTAAAACTTTTAATTTGACATTATTGCTTTTAAAAGTGTACTTAAGTGGATAAAGAAACAGTCATGAAAGTGACTTAAGTGGACGTTAAGCTCATTAATATTATATTATCTGCAAGTACAGCTTTTTAAAAATATTATTGTAAGATTTGAAGTACACTACAAGTACAGATTAAGTACAGTTAAGTACACTTCTTTTTCCAAGGGACATTTTCATTCTACAGAGCAATTTACTGCACAAAAAGTCAAATATTTTCAGTTTGTTTTTCCTGAAGAGTGCTAGTATATATTCAGACTAAAACCCACAAAACTTTCAAAATGAAACATAACCATGGAAAACCTTGAGGAACAAGGATGAGTTTTCTAGAATGTACCACACACACACACACACACACACACACACACACACACACTCACACTCACACTCACACACACACACACACACACAC